TTGACTCTAAGCTGGAATGTGTGGAGTCTCTTTCAGGGTAGCACTGGAAATGAGTCCACGATGGGCTTAATGGGTTGGCCCTGGTTAACACAACAGGGCTAACCTTCATACACAATAAGGTGCTCTCAGGTGTTGGTTCACCAATAGAGTCCATACACAGGTCTGGGGAAAGGGAGCATCCAAGAGTAGCCCAGGTGACAGAGTGTCAGATAGACAAAGGAAACCTAAAAGGCTCTGACTCGGATCCGTTGTATGTCCCTCTCCCATTCTTCCTAATTCGTTGTGTGGGGATTGTGGGGATTCCTCTGGGTGAGGCAAGGCGAGGTGGGTTCATGTTCTGGAGAACCTTTAAGGAATTTCATAGAAAGGTGACTTTTTGGGACAATTAGAAATGCGCTTGTGGTTGACTGGCTGTGTTTTTCAATGAAAATAACTTGGGGTTCGAGCTCTCAATCTCAATCATCTCATGAGCCTTCTGGCCAAGGAAAAGTGTAGCTCTGTCTCTCTCTGGCTGGTCTGGTCAGGAGGGCCTGGCTTTGCTTGACCACATCATTTCCCGCTCTCAAAATGGGGGCATCCCAGGCAAAAAGGAGATACCAGGCCTGCAGTGGACACTCAATCCTAAAGCAAGGAGAAGAAGGGCAGAAGCCTGAGAGTTCTTTGCACAACTCAGAAATATCTGCCTTACCAAACTACAAATCCCAGGATTCCGTAGCACTGAGTCATAGCAATTAGAGTGGGGTCAACGTGCACGTGTGTTTACAATGCATCCAAGGACTCTGAGAATGGGTTGTAGTAAATGATAGAACCTAAGCGATCCAGTGGGTTTTGTGGAGCCCTGGGTTCAAATCCCTGCTCATCTATGAGTTCCTTTGGTCAAGCCCTAGGGGGCGTGTGTGGCCCAATGGGTTAAACCCTTGTGCTGCTGAACTGCTGACCTGAAGATTGGTAGTTCGAATCCACGAGACAGGGCGAGCTCCCTCTGTTAGCCCTAGCTCCTGCCAACCTAGCAGTTTGAAAACATTCAAATGTGAGTAGTTCAATAGGTACTGCTTCGGTGGGAAAAGGCAAAAAGACGCTCCATGCAGTCATGCCAGCCACAGACAACGCAGGCTCCTCGGCTTGGAAATGGAAAGGAGAACCTCTCCCAGTGCTGGAGATGAGCGCAGCCTCCAGAACCGGAAATGAAAGGAGAAGCCTTTGCCTGTGTATTTGTGTCTCATTGTATTTCAATGCAGCAAGGGGTTGAATGTTTGCCTGTGTCTGTTTATATGCTGTAATCCGCTCCAACTCCCCTTGGGAAGAAGGGCGGAATATAAATAAATAAAAAAACAAATAAATAATTCGTTTGCTGTAGGTTTTTCGGGCGATATGGCCTTGTTCTAGAAGCATTCTCTCCTGACGTTTCGCCTGCATCTATTCGTTCGCAAGCATCCTCAGAGGTTGTGAAGTCAAATAATTATGTGTCTAATTATTATTATTATGTTGTTGTTGTTCATTCGTTCAGTCGTCTCCGACTCTTCGTGACCTCATGGACCAGCCCACGCCAGAGCTCCCTGTCGGCCGTTACCACCCCCAGCTCCCTCAAGGTCAGTCCAGTCACTATTATTATTATGTATCTTATTATTATCATCATCATCATCATCATCATTATTATTATTAGGTACATGAGTCCACAGCAAACAAGACCCCTCTGCTGGCTTTTGTATTTGATCACATGTTGGACCCTTCCCAAGTGTCGAGGACTGTGTGATGTATCAGCAAGTAATGCGTGCAGATCCCAGTAGGGTGGTGGCCTTTTGCAGCTGACCGGTGCTGATTTTGTCAGTGCCGATTGCGTTTAAGTGCAGGCCAAGGTCTTGAGGCACTGCACCCAGTGAGCTCATCACCACTGGGACAACCTTGACTGGCTTGTGCCTGAGTCTTTGCAATAATAACAATAATGATACCAATAATAGCAGCAATAATAACAACAACAACAGTTTGCACTGGCATGTCACGCAGTTTGACTTGGAGGCTGCAAGGGAGAGCGTCCTTCAAAGCACACAGCAACCCAAGGGACCAGCGCTGGACCTGGGCTCAGGCCATTCCCTCCTCCTCCTCCTCCTCCTCCTCTTTTTATGCTTTTCAAGGGCACCATTCACCCAAATCTGTCCCCCACTTTGCTGCTTCCACAGAGTTTGGGAAGGGACTTTGCTGGCGGGGACGGTGGGTGGCCAAAACGCAAGAGCCAAATGTGGCCTTTTTGGGCTTTGGCTGCCCAGCGAGGCATGAAGGCGGGCTGGCCTTGGTCTCAGCGCCAATTAGAGGGAGAGCGGCACTCCGGCCTATTTTGGGCCCATTGAGGGTGCCGTTGCCTCTCAGCTTTTGTGTGGTTCTAAGGAATGTGGGTGGCTTTAATTTCCAAGCACTTTCTCAAGCCCCACAACGGAAGTGGGATTCACACTGCAGGATTAGTGCAGTTGGACAACACTTTATNTGAACATCAAGCAAAAAGTGGGTGCTAGAAACAATATCATACGAAAGCTGGCTGGCACAACCTGGGGATCACCACCAGATACAGAGAAGACATTTGCCCTTGCGATGCATGCCCAGTGTGGAACACATCTCACCACACTAAAACAGTGGATGTGGCTCTTAATGAGATATGCCGCATTATCACGTGGTGTTTGCGCCCTACACCACTGGAGAAATTACACTGCTTAGCCGGTATTGCACCACCTGACATCCGCCGGGAAGTAGCAGCCAATAGTGAAAGGACCAAGGCAGAGACATCTCCAGCTCATCCCCTGTTTGGGTATCAGCCAGCACGTCAACAACTTAAATCTAGAAATAGTTTTCTAAGATCTACAGAGACACTCGCTGGAACACCTCAGCAAGCGAGAGTCCAAAAGTGGCAGGTTCAAATCCAGAACCTCAACCAATGGCTGATACCAAATGAGAGACTCCCCCCTGGGCACACAGAAAACTGGGCAACAGACTGCGCTCTGGCACCATGAGATGCAGAGCCAACCTCAAGAAATGGGGCTACAAAGTGGAATCAACAACATGCGAGTGTGGAGAAGAGCAAACCACAGACCACCTGCTGCAATGCACCCTGAGCCCTGCCACATGCACAATGGAGGACCTCCTTGCAGCAACACCAGAAGCACTCCAAGTGGCCAGATACTGGTCAAAGGACATTTAATCAACTACCAAACTCACACATTTTGTATTTTGTCTGTTTGCTTTGTTCTGTTAGAAATGTAATATAATTGACTGGTTGCCCTGACACCACAAATAAACAAATAAATAAATAACTGCTTTTGTTCGTGCAACAAATAATTCTACTCATTACTTTTTGAGACGTTAGACCAAATCCCCTGCGGAGTGAGAAGAGCGGGATATAAATAGTAAATAAACAAATAAACTGCATTCTTAGGGCATTCTGAGATGATGTGTTCAACTTCCAGGTCATTTTTCTTACATTTTATTTGGATTTTCTTCTGGAATCACTGGAAGTCCAACCCCCTGCCATGCAGAAAAAGCACAATCAAAGCACTCCTGAGAGATGGCCGTCCAGCCTCTGCTTAAAATGGTCATGGATAACCATCTGCCTGGAGTGATAGGCTAGAGGAGAACTGTTATGTGGTTTACTGGCTGTATGGACATGTTCCAGCACGATTTTCTCCTAATGTTTCACCTGTTTCTGTAGAGAGGATCCTCTGAAGATGCCAGCCAGGGGTGCTCTGAGACCCCTTCCATGTTGCCCTATATCCCAGGATCTGATCCCAGATTATCTGCTTTGAACTGGATTATATGAGTCCACACTGCCATATAATCCCGTTCAAAGCAGATAATCTGGATTTTATATGTCAGTATAGAAAGGGCCTGGGCTGTGGCAAATGCTGTTTTATGCAGACATTTGTTTGCATTACTCCTTATCTGCTCTCCTGTATGTTTGTAAGCAAACA